TAGATCAAAATAGTTTAGAAATATGTAGAGTCTTCTATTTCACATTTATGCAGGTGACAAAATTTTTCTAGCTCTGACGGTTCATGATATAATATGCGCCTTTAAAGTAGTAAACGGATTCCCATTGGCGTTTGCCAAGACGCACACCAACTTTAAAGGCGCATATCTCGAAAAATGAAGTGGCTATTTAAGTCAGATGTATTGAGAAAAATGTAAACTTTCCTGCTTCACATTTTTGCAGTTGACAACATTTTTCTAACTAAAACGGGTCTTGAGATAATATGCGCCTTTAAAGTAGGCGCGCTCCCCTTTGGCGCCAGGCGAATAGGCTTGCGCGTCAACTTTAAAGGCGCATATCTCCAAAACTAATAAAGCTGGAGCAAAACTGTAAACTGCAAAAATGTATGAAATTCAATGTTCTACAATTTAATAATAGAAAATTTTGCCTTAGCTCTCCTAGTTTTTGAGATAGACCGCTCCAAAAAAACCTAAAAAACCAGACTAACGTAAAAAACTGCTCGGTCCCACTAGCCATATTCCGTCCCGTTGCATTCTGACACTTGCCATCAAAATACATCCATTCAGGATGCTTATCCTCATTTAAAGCCCTCGAATCATTATTGAACACCATGTTTGCTCCTTTGCACAATTTTTGTTTCATCCCCTCGTAACATGTCGATCTTCCTTGATTATTCCATTCGTTATCACATTTACTCATTTTTACAGCGTTTGCGCTGTTGGCTAGATATATACCAATCCAGGAAATTAGAATCATGTAATAGATTCCTATTATAGCACCGACCAAGCAACACATCCAACCGATGCCTAGACAAAATACGTTGTAACTTGAAAACTAGAAGAGGTACGGAGAAATTTTTAATTGGAGATTTGTAGAACATAAAATTCTACACATTTTGCCAGTTAAAATGTTTTAGATGGCGGTCATGGGTCGCGAGATATAAGCGTTAGAAGTTAGAGGCACACGAGACACCACGCGGAGGGAGGAGACGCAGACAGGGTGGAAGAACCCTTAACTTCTAACGCTCATATCTTACAATTTTAAAATGGGAAAATGTGTAAAAATGTGCTGGCTATTTTTTCCAATATACAAAGTTTTAATAGAAATAATGGTTTTTGAAATACAATTGTTTGAAATAAGGTACCTCAATTTAGGGGTTATCTCAAGATATCTAGCTTCCTAGCTCATTTATCAAATAGTTTTCAACTAACCAAACGCCTTAAATTTTACGCTCTTCACATCTTTTAAATTACAAACCTTCCAACACCGGCATAATCCTTCTGAAAACCGCCGGCGGACTCTTCGCCGCATACTGTCCAAGCACGAATTCCATATGGATTGCAGGGATTGCAAAAACAAATGCACATACTAGATAAGGAATCAAAAACGAGGATCCACCATTCTGATAAGCCATTTGTGGGAATCTCCAAATGTTTCCGAGGCCTACAGCCTGGCCGAGAGAGCTGAGGAGGGACTCGATCTGGAAGGAGGAGAGGTGAGTGGGCGCCCTTTCTTATATATCTTTCGCGCCCAGGGGGAGAGGTGGCCGCGTAGCGCAGTGGTAGCGCTTCTGGCGCTGGCGCACGAGGTTTATGGTTCGACTCCCATGGGAGGCAAAATTTTTTTTCTTATCCTTTTTTGTTTCTTTTTTATAGCTTTTTATAGCTAGCTTACCCCTTTGAAAGCCTGCCGATTTGTATTCTCCATCTCCACATACTGTCTATAAGCCCTTCTTCCTCTTTCTCCTTTCCTCTCCTTTGCAAATTGGTCCGGCAAGAAGACATCTGGGTTTTCACTTTTATCATTTTTATCAGCCGCTGGCTCCTTGTTTATAGTTTGTGTAGTATTTGTAGTCTTTGTAGTCTTCGTTATGGTTGGCTGAGTAGTTCCAGTTGATTCCGTGGATTTGAGATTCGACATCCTATTTTGATTAGATGGATGTTCGAATATTTTGAGAAAAATAGTGCAGAACTTTTGAGTTTCAGTATCTTTGAAAAGATCTAGTTTTTTTGGGATGGCTGAGTTCGAAAAAAACTTCTGAGCGTGGCAAAAACCAGGCTGCAAAACGTGGAACATCCAAAAAAGCTGGACGGTCCAAAAAATTCAAAAATCTCTGAAAAAATCAATATTATAGATTTTAAATCAACTCACCAACTATGGAGATACACGACGAGTACAATCCGTACACCGTCGTTCAACGTCATCAATCGCAATGGTTCATGTATGTGCCAAATGCGCCGCCCATGGAGGTACAGTGACCTTTCTACAGTAACCCGATTGTCTGTCTAGCAGACAGACACCGTAGACAGTAACTGCAGTAACCCAAATTTTGCAGGACTACGATGCCACGAAACATGGTAATCTGTTTGGATTCGACAATGGCTCTACGTATCTCACAGTGTCTCATGATGCGGTCAATTTGAACAGCATTCCTCCAACGGTATTATCTCGAGAAATAGGGGAGCTAGAAAAGAAATTCAAATTGGAAATTATAGCTCTTGAAATTTTACACATTTTGTTAGTTAAACGTTTTTTGTTAGCAATTATGGGTCGCGAGATATAAGCATTAGAAGTTATCCTAGCAAGAGGCGCGGGAGAGCAAGAGACGCAGATAGTGTGTCTGCGTCTCCACCTGTCGCCACCGTTGCGTGCCCTCTCTCTCGAATCGATAGTTTCAAACAGTTGTATCTCGAAAACCTGGATAGCTATCAAAAAGCTTCCAACGAACAAAATGTGTAAAATTTTGAGCTCTACATTTTTGCCATACAAATTTCTTTTGTATCCCCAAGAGAGATACACTTCAGGATTCCGTGGCTAGTCTTCAAGAACGTTACGTCGTTCCCGAAATCATCGCATTTTCGAGTGGATCCGAGGTTGATACGCGCTCGGCTGGCAATCCGTACGCTCATCACCCCAACTATACAACGCCTTCTCAATATTTTGGACATATCACCGAGCCTGAGCAAAAGAAGGAAACTGAGGATGTGCTCACGATCATGGACATTCAAAAATTGAGCGACCCATTTGTTGAGGAGACTCCTGGAGTCAAAATTATGCCTCCGAATGATGTGGTGAGTTTGGAAAGAATGTTATGCGCCTTTAAATTTGGAGCGCCTTACCGCCTGGCAAAGGGGGGAAGGAGGAGGCGGCGCGCCAACTTTAAAGGCGCATATCTCAAAAACTATGGCAGCTAAATAAAATGTTTAACTATGAAAATGTAGAACGTAAAATTTTACACATTTTGATAGTAG